TTTCCTAAGGTAAAGTCCCTGGATGTGGTTTATTCAGCCCTGCCACTCTCATTCAGCCCTGCCACTCTCTCCCTACTTCCTGCCACAGGAATGAGCACATGACCCAGGATTGGCCAATCAGGTGACACCATGCCTCTAGCCACAAGGCTAGGTTCAGGAGTGGATATGTAACTGAAGCCCTACCAATCAGAGACTTTCCTGGGACTTTCATGCCAGAGCTATCAGGAAAGACTTGCTTGCCCCTCTGGAGTTGCTGAGGATGTGAGTATGGCATCTTGCTACATAGAGAGCCTATTCAAGAACAAAGCCAAATGGAGTCACGATGAGAAAGTCAGCCCTGATGACATAGTTTGAGCTTTTAGAACCATCCATGTCTGAGTGCTCGCTTCGGCAGCACATATACTAGAACCATCCATGTCTGAGAGCAGTCCCATCTCTTCCACTGTGTGATGTGGTGGCTTACCTGAGTTAGGTCTCTGTCACTTATTATCCAAACAGTTCTGACTAACACAGGCCTACTTAGCATCCTGTCTACACACTCCTGCAACCCAGGAGCTGGGGCCATTTGACCCTGCCTGTAGCTGCAGCCCCTGCCTTTGATTCCAATCTGAACTTGGTTTTGAGGGACTAAGAGAAGCTAACCAGTCTTATTTCTTTTATTGACAGCCCCTGCCTTGTACCCCAGTCTCAATAACTGAAGCCCCATCTTACTTCATTATCCTGGCTCTTTGCCTTTTCAACCCTAGTAAGGGCAGACTCTGAACCTGGAACTCCACAGCTAGAGCCCACGACCTGCTGCTGTGTGTCTTGAGTATTACGTGAGCCTGTCAGGATTTCCCCCTGTGGTTCATACCAGTCCCATTTGATGTAAATGGTCAAATTGAGGCCTGACAGTAAAACTTAAGGCAGGATTTCCTAAGCTGTTGTCCATGGGACTCCATTCAGTGGAATATAAATAGGTATTCCATTAACATAGAGTAAAAAAACAAAGCTGGCAATATTTTTTCTTTAATTTTATATTTTAAAATATAAAAAATGGAGTAGCATTTTACATAGGGGTTACCTTCTAAAGTCAGTGCTCAAGGTAAAAATCATATCCTGTCAAAATTGCCTTTGGTTAGGGGCACCTGGATGACTCAGTTGGTTGAGTGTCTGACTGCGGCTCAGGTCATGATCTCACAGTTTGTGAGTTCAAACCCTGCATCGGGCTCTGTGTTGACAGCTCAGAGCCTGGAGCCTGCTTCAGAGTCTGTGTCTCCCCCTCTCTCTCTCCCCATCCCCAGCTTGCACTCTGTCTCTCTCTCTCACACAAATAAATAAACATTAAAAAAAATTTTTTTTTAATTGCCTTTGGTTAAACCTTTGATTTGTCCACAAAGCATAGCAAACAGACCTTCTACCTTCCAACAAGTCCATCAGAGTCCCTTTTTCCTCCGACTCTGGAACAAGTTACTGTTTTTCCAGTTTTGCTCCAGGTGAAGGTGAAAGATGTGGCTTATTTTCGGGGACATGTTGGGTGGGGAGTATGGATTGAGATTCACAGGCAGGGTGCAAGGCGGTCACTCTGTGAGAAGTGTGAGGGAACAGAGACTGACTGAAGGATCCCCAACTCAAGTACCCCCCTCATGCTTAGTCTGGGGCACCCAATCACTGAGTCATCGCACTGTTTAAACTGTGCTGTCTCTCCAGGCTCCCATGGAACATGTGTAACTGAATCTGAGGGACTTAAATGCATGTAAGGTAAGATTCCCCCATATGAGAGAAAAATATTTATCATTATAAGGCATTCTCATAGCAATCTGTTCTTATGTATACAATAATTTGCTTTTAAGAAATTGTGTGCCAGGAATACCAGGAAATCACATCACCTGTTACATGGAATTGTGACACACGATCTACCTGTTGGTGCATAAAGGAGCATTTACTAACTCTGCCCTTCATCATCAGTTCTATGATACCTGGCTTAAGTAATGAGCCTTATTTTAGAATGTACTATATATGTTTATTATTCAGTATTTGTTGCGTAATAAACATATGAATCAAATCATGATAATCCTAATAATATTAATAAGAATTAATACTTGGTAAGGGGTTGCCATACACCAGGTATTTCTCAAGCAACTTTGTATTTAGTAACTCATTTAATTCTTATGACAAACTTTGTCCTCATTTTACAGGTGAGGAAACCAAGGTTTAAAGAGGCGAAGGATTTTTTAAAAAAACTTTTTGATGTTTATTTATTTTGAGAGAGAAAAGAGAGCGAGCAAGCATGAGCGGGGGGGGCGGGGGGTGGAGAGAGAAGGGGGACAGAGGATCCAAAGCAGGCTCTGCACTAACAGCCCGATGTGGGCTCACGAAACATGAGATTATGACCTGAGCTGAAGTTGGATGCTTAATCGACTGAGCCACCTATGGACCCTGAAGTGAAAGATTATTGAATCCACATTTCCAGACCTCAAATCCCAGGCATGGGCATGGTTACTTTGGTAGTCAAAGGAGAGAATGTATATGAAAATAGACTCTTGTTTTAGTCAAGTATAATTAACATAGTATTGTATTCATTTCGGGTGTACAATATGATTCGACAATTCTATACCTTTCCCAGTATTCATCAGGATAAGTGTACTCAATCTCCTTTATCTATTTCACCCATCCCTCCCACCCGCCTCCCCTCTGGCAACCACCAGTTTGTTGTCTGTATTTAAGTCTGTTTGTTTGCATCCCCTTTTTCTTTGTTTGTTTATTTGTTTTGTTTCTTAAATTACACATATGAATGAAATCATATGGTATTTGTCTTGACTGATTTATTTCTCTTAGCATTATACTCTCTAGCTCTGTCCATTGCAAATGGCAAGCTTTCATTCATTTTATGGCTGTGTAATAGTCCATTGTATATATATACCACATCTTCTTTATCCACTCATCTATCAATGGACACTTGGGTTGCTTCCATATCTTGGCTACTGTAAATAATGCTGCTATAAACGTAAGAGTGCATATATCTTTTCAAGTTAGAATTTTCATTTCCTTTGGGTAAACACCCAGTAGTGGAATTATTGGATCTTGTGGTAATTCTATTTTTTAAGTTTATTTATTTATTTTGAGAGAGAGAGATTACATGAGCAAGGGAGGGGCAGAGAGAGAGAGAACCCCAAGCAGGCTTTGAAGCTCAGTGTGGGGCTGGAACTCATGAACTGTGAGATCATGACCTGAGTGGAAATCAAGAGTCAGATGCTTAACTGATTGAGCCTCACAGGTGCCCCTGTGATAATTCTATTTTTAAGTCAAAAAGATTATTTTTTTTAAATAGCTGCTATTTGTGGAGCTCTTACCCTATGCCAGACATCGATAAGCACTTGTCATGCCTTTTCTTGTTTAATTATGATAACTCTATGAGCAGATGCAGAAAGGGAGGCTCAGAGAGGTTAAGTGACCTGGCCAAGGAAATTTACCCAGGATTATAAAATAATTGCTCTAACCCTTAGCCAGTAAACTACACTGCCTGCCTATAGAGATGCAAGTTTTCATTATTATCATCACAAAGAGCAATGGGGCGTTAGCCTTTAGGTAACCCTGAATCAAAACCACAGTGAGAACCACTCACAGCTCACTAGGATGCCCATGACCAAAAAAACAAACAAGAACAAGTGTTTGTTGAGGATGTGGAGGAATGGGACACACACTGCTGGTGGGAACATGAAATGGTGCAGCCACTTTGAAAACAGGTGGGTGGTTCCTCAAAAGGTCAAAAGTAGAGTTACTAAATGATCTTTCAGTTTCACTAGTAAGTACACCAGAAAACTGAAAACATGTTCATGCAAACACATGTACACTGGTATTCATAGCACCATTATTCATAATAGCCCCAAACTGGAAACAACCCAAATGTCCACCAAAAGAAAACAGTCTATCCATACAATGGAATATTACTTGGCCATCAAAAGGAATGAAATAGAGATACATTTTCCAGCATGAATACACCTTGAAAACATGATGCAGGGGCACCTGGGTGGCTCAGTCAGTTAAGCACCTGACTCTTGATTTTGGCTTAGGTCATAATCTCACCATTTGGGAGTTCCAGCCCCACATTAGGCTCTGTGCTGGCAATGCAGAGCCCGTTTGGGGTTCTCTCTCTGCCCCTCCCCCCGCTCGTGCTGTCTCTGTCAAAATAAATAAATACACTTAAACAAACAAAAAGAAAACATAATGCAGAGTGAAAGAAGCCAGACACAAAGGACCACATACTGCCTGATTCCATTTATATGAAATGTGCAGAACAGGCAAATCCTAGAGACAGAGGGTAGATCAGTGGGTCACCAGAGCTACAGGTGAGCAGAAGGGTTTGGAGTGATGGCTAAGGGATGTGGAGCTGGTTTTGGAGGTGATGAAAATCTGAAATGGATTGTGGTGATGGTTGCACAACTCTGAATATACTGAAAACTGCTAAATTGTACACTTCAAACGAGAGAGTTGTATAGTGTGTGAATTATATCTCAGTAAACTTAAAAACCAAAACCAAAACCAAAAATGAGCAAGGGGGGCTTTCTGCCACTGGAGAGGACCTGGTTACATTGACAAGTCTGGTCCTATTCCTCCCCTAAGCAGTGATGACTCAGACAGATGCCAGCATTATCACCAGGCGTGCCCCGAATCCTTGTTTCCTCCCTAGGAATCCAGGGTGTTGCCCTGTTTCCCACTTTTCCCGGGCATACCTTGCCCAGCTCACCCTGGCAGGCCTGGGGTAGAACCCTGAGTATGGCTTTGCCTCTTGTGGCTTCTTTCTGCAGCAGCCTGGCACTGTTTCCCACACACCCCCCTCCAACCACCTGCCTCTCCCACCCCAACACCCACTCCCACCTCCAGCCCCAGCTTGCTATCAGAAAAAAGTCTCAGATTTAAAACCACGTGGAATTCAGGCTATGCACCAAAAGCTGCACCTTGAGGTTTCTTGTGCTGTCAACCCCTGCAGACATCCGGGGTCATCCCCACACCCCACTTACCTAACGTAGGAAAAGACGATCATGTGGAAGATCCACTTAATGGTGCCATAATTCATGCTCTGGATCCGGGTGACTTTGTTTGTCTCATACTGGAAAACATCATTCCAGCTGCAGCAGGCTGCCATGGCAAGAGACTCACTGTCCACAAGGGTCTGGACCAGGGCTCAGCCTTCCCAGACCAGCCACAGCAAGCCCACCAGTAAGAGGAAAATGAAACATCCTGATTCTTAGCAGGAGCCTTTAAGTTTGAGTTCCTCCAATGACGGCAGAGTGGGGGCGGGTCCTGGCAGCTGCCCCAGATGTGGCCGGGGATAAACAAGAGAAGCGAAGTCCTACAGGCCTGGCTGGCAGATAACCCTGCCCCAGCCGGCCTCCCCCAGATGCCTGCACAAAGATGGTGTTCAAAGGAAGGGCATTTTTAGAATTCTGCTTTATCCCCTTTTTTCTTTGACTTTTTTGGACTCATTTCAGTTAGGGGAAAGGGGCAGCCTTTCAAATGTCAGGAGACCCAGTGTTTCCATTGTGACTTAATAAAGGGGCCTAGATCTTTCTACTGTCTCAAGGCCCACTCAGAGACTGACTAATTCATTTCTACAACCCTTTGTTCAACCCCAGATGTCTGTGAACACTGGGTGAATGAAGATCTTCCTCTCCTCCCTCTCACACATCCTCCACAGCACTCTGGTCTGTAGATGGGGGTGGTGGGTGGGAGGGGGGCATCAGATCTGCTGGGGCTGGGAGGGGAAGAGGGCTTTATTTCTATACTGGATATTTCCTGCGTGACCCTCTAGATCCACTCTCTGCCCTCTTCTGTGCCCCCTGAGTTACACGTGTGATGTAGGCCAGTCAGCCTAAGACCATCAGAAACAAACTTACCATTCAACAAAACTAGGTTTACTGACTCATTCCATGAGAAAAAGCTCATGCCAGAGGATCTAGGGGCATCATTAAAGGGACAGAGCTATCATAGGATTATGGGGAATGGTGGGGTTTAGATTAAATTTAAATGAAAACAGATTTTGATAGACTCAGAGCAAAGCAGGTTTGTATACAACGGTCATCTTTAGATCTGGATTGCAAAGTGGACCCAGGGCCCTGCTTCCTTGGAAGCAATAAAGCTAAGATGGATGTTGAATGTTGTGTCTAGAAACCCTTTATCTGAAGCTTTGTACCTGAGATGCAATTTGAGGCTGCTTCTCTTTGGCAAGGTTGTGATTTAGATCCTCCAGGCAAAAGTGGAGTATTTCGTTCTTATTGATGGAATTCCCAATAGCAAATTTTCTGATAGTTTATTATTTTAGAGGATGATATTTCTCAGTAGGAAAGCAACAATCACTCAAAAAAATGGGAGTGGGGGTGCTACAATACACCTAACATACCCTTCAAAACTCTCAAGGTCATCAAAAACAATGAAAACCCTAATAAATTGTCACAACCAAGAGGAGGCTAAGGAGACATGACAACTAAATGTAATGTGATAACCTAGATAGGATCCTAAAACAGAAAAGGAACACCATTTAAAAACTAAAGAAATGTGAATAAAATATGAACTTTAGTTAATATTGATATATCAATATTGATTAATTATAAAAATGTACCATACTAATGTAGGATGTTAATAATCAAGGAAACCGGGTATAGGATATATGGAAAAGCTGTGTACTATCTTTGTGATTTTTCTGCAAACTTAAAACTGTTGTAAAATGTCGTAGATTCTAAGTCTAAAGTTTTTTTTGGCCAGCAAAAGAGCAGATGAGGATTAAAGCGAGAGATGGCTAATGTACGAGAAAAGACAAAAGCCCTGATTAAGGGTCCTTGCCCTGTATCCATTCATGCCAGAAGGTTTACAAACGTGATGGGCATGTACAAAGAGATAAAGAAACTAAGAACATTAACTTGGGGACGTGAGGGCAAAGGGGGGTTTTGAAGATATACAGTGTTTGGGGTTTGGGTCAATATAACACAAAATCCGGGCATCAGGCAGTCGGGAGGAAGGTTGTTTACCTCGGACGTGAGGCAGCACCTCTGTTTACCTTAGCCAGCCTAGGGGATGAGACAGATGGGGGAATAACCTCAGGGTTAATAAGGCACCTTTTCTTTTGTTAACCATCTCCACTCTGGGCTGCTTTGCCTGCAGCACAGTGGTCCATAGTCCAATTCACCAATTTACCTAACCTGGTCCTATTCTCCTGTGAAAGCAGATTTTCTGCTATAGTACTAAATTGGGGTGCTTCCACCCTGAACATCTAATCTTGTTTATTTCATATACCTATATATTGGGCACCTTTGCACCGTTTCTATTTCAGACCTTTGCCTCTCCCTCTCTATTTTGGGGTGCCTTTGCACCTCCCTATTTCTGGCACCTTTGCGCCTCCCTTTTCTTGGGGTGCCCTATTCTTGGGGTGCCAATCTGGCTTACGCAAACTTGGGTGTGAGCATGTTATGACTTTGTATTTCTTTATGCCTTGTTAACCCATTGATGTAAGCCTGGGGGATTCCTAAGCTTATCCCCTACAGTAAAATGAAAGTTTATCTTTAAAACAAAAAAGATTGGGGGTGGTGGTATTATCACTTTACAGGTACAGTGAAATACTGTTTGGTGTTATTTTTGCAGCTGACTTTACTCATTACTGCTCTTCCAGATTGCTAAGCGGCCAAGCCAGTTTTTACTTTTCCAGTCTGAGCTAAATTTTACTTTCTTACTCATGTGAGCTGCACCAGGGGCTACATTACCTCCTGGCTCTCAGTTCGGGAGACTGGAGAGCAGGAGAAAGGTGAGATTGAATGCAAATTTTCTCGACCCTTCTCAAAAGTGCTCGTGGCAGGGATCCTGGTCTTTCTGCTGAACTCAGACAATGATATCTCATGCTCTTCCTTCTCCGCTTCCTCAGCCCTCTGTCTGCTATTTCTCCCACCACCACTTCATGGGTACTGTTCTTTTTTTTTTTTTTTTAATTTTTTTTAACGTTTTATTTATTTTTGAGACAGGGAGAGACAGAGCATGAACAGGGGAGGGTCAGAGAGAGGGAGACACAGAATCTGAAACAGGCTCCAGGCTCTGAGCTGTCAGCACAGAGCCCGATGCGGGGCTCGAACTCACAGACTGTGAGATCATGACCTAAGCCAAAGTCGGCCGCTTAACCGACTGAGCCACCCAGGAGCCCCTCATGGGTACTGTTCTTAATAAGCTTACTGATAAGTTATCAGTTGCCATATTTAGTGATATGTTTTGTTCCTTATTTCACCTCGCCTTTTGGACCAACACCATGTACCACTCTCTACCTCTTGAGCAATTTATTCCCTTGATCTTCATGACTCCCTTGGGCCCTTTCTCCTAGTTTTTTGTCTTTGCCTCTATGTTCTTTGTCGTATCTTTCTAGGACTCTTCTCCTTTTATGTGTCAGTTCCAGCAAATTCTGCCTCAGCATTTTTTATATTTTTATCAGTCATGACAGGTGATGTTGCAATAACAAACAGCCCTCCCAAATCCCATGGCTTAAAAACGATGTCGTTTTATTTCTCATCCACAATAAATATTCACCATGGGTCACCTGGGAGGCTCTGCTCATCATAGTCACTCAGAAAACAAAACTAATGGAATAGCCACTATCTTGAACTCTTGAATGAGAAATCTGGCAGGTCTTAGAGTGGCATTTAAATGCTCTGATCTAGAAACGATGCATTCCATTTTGCCCCTAACTCACTGGTCAAAATTAGTCACTTGATCCCAGGAACTTGGTCCCAGGGAATCAGGAAATGCAATCTCACCCAGAAACAGAAGAAGCAGAAATATTTGGTAAATTGCACTAATAACTTTTGTATCTTCTCCCTGGGAGATTTCATCCACACACATTCTTTTAGAATCACCAAATGCTAAAAGAAAAGGAGATGGAAAGAGGGGTATATGTGTATATCACGTGTTTAACTATGCATGGAATGTAGCTGGAAATAAAACCTACTACTAATTTGGGGGACCAGTGCAGGGGGGTCCCTTATTCAAGATAAGGAACTTCAAGATGGCAACAGCAGAGCATTAGACCAAGCTCAGGTCTCTCTTAAGTATGGGTCCTTAATGGAACTGCACAGATCCCATGTCCATGAAGCTGGCTGTGTCTGGAGGGATATACAAGATGGTCTCTGGGGAGGGAATTGGAGGATTAGTTAGTGTTTGTCAAGAAACTTATTTCTTACCTTTCTATGAAGTTTTTCTACCATACTCATGCATTCTGTTTTAAAAATCTATATCTCCAGACCAAATCTGCCTTCTGAGCTCCACACTGGTACAATCTATGAACCCCCAGATCTAAAAATCCCATAGACACTTAAAATCATATCTTTAGAATGGCACACTTCCCCACAAAATAATAGTGCTTGTAAGGACTGATTAGAGGGAGATAGTGGAGACCGGATGTGGACCACTTTCCTTCTAAGCTCAGCTTGAGGGTTAAGGGTGCTTTTTAAAAAAAAATTTTTTTAATGTTTTTTTTATTTTTGAGAGAGAGAGACAGAGACAGAGAGTGAGCAGAGGAGGAGCAGAGAGAGGAAGACACAGAATGCAGAGCAGGCTCCAGGCTCTGAGCTGTCAGCACAGAGCCCGATGCAGGGCTCGGACTCATGAACTGTGAGATCATGACCCGACCTGAAGTCGGACGCTTAACTGACTGAGCCACCCAGGCACCCCAAGGGTGATTTTTAATGGGAAATGTAGCATCAAGAGGAGATTGGGGGAGAGAGGTAGTTAATATGGAAACATTTGAGCCATTCAAAGATGTTCAAAGTGGAGTGTCAAGAATGGTGGTCTCTGTTTCTTTGTGAAGTAGGAAGTTAAGTCTTGAATGGAATGGGGCTTGGGTGAATTTCTCTTAGTCAAGGGCGTGTGTGTGTGTGTGTGTGTGTGTGTGTGTGTGTTTCTGGTTACAAGTCAGAAAATCAAGTGACTTCCTTCAGCAGAAAAGGTAGTTTTTTGAGGAAACACTATGATCTTAACAAGTGCAGGAAACGTGGCCCAACGTGGTAAGAACTTACTAATAGACATGGAAATTAAAATGTCCTGCTCTGAGGTTGCACTTGCAGTTTGTCTGAAGCTGTGGGTCCTCTTTCTGCCTGATTCTCTGTGTACCCACTGCATATCTCTCTAAGCACTGGACTTCTCTACTGCTCCGAGGGCATGTCACCAAACAAGGTCATCAAGGCAGCCACATCAGGTTGGCCACAGTTCCTGTCAAAGCCCAGACCTACAGCTTAATTCTGGAGTCCCAGAGGAGTGAATTTGATTGGTCTAGCTATTTATCTCTAGTCCAATCAGCTTAAGGTTGTGGGCGGGGTCACAGAACAAACATGGTGTCAGGGACCCATTGGGGAAGGGGGGGAGGAGGGGAGAAGGGGAAGGAAGGGAGCAGAGTGGGGGGAGGGAGGAAAGGCTGGGAGGAGAGAAAGGGAAGGAAAGGGAGAAAGAAATGTAGCTCTCAGGGAATACAGGGTCCTAGGCTGGGAGACTCAGGTTAACTACTGCTCTCAGGTGGGACGATGCAGTCTGTGCAGTTTCCCAAAGGTCCCTAGTGGGATTGAGCCCCAGATGCCTACAGCACGACCTGTTCTTGAATGCTTCTTATATTGACTGCCTTCCCTCCCTGTCCCATTTCCCCAGTGCCCTTCCTAACTTCACCTCCCAAA